TGTATGTAAGTCAGAACTGGCGGTCAGTTTCAGCAGCGGCTGAATCTGGACACCAGTTCCGACTTACATACAGATTCAACTTAAGAACAAACCTACAGTCCCTATCTTGTACGTAACCCGGGGACTGCATGTACCTTAATAAATCTGTTGGTCTCGAAGGAGCCACAGGATTCCTTGCTGCTTTTGCAGATACAGACTAATGTATGTAAGTCAGAACTGGCGGTCAGTTTCAGCAGCGGCTGAATCTGGACACCAGTTCCGACTTACATACAGATTCAACTTAAGAACAAACCTACAGTCCCTATCTTGTACGTAACCCGGGGACTGCATGTACCTTAATAAATCTGTTGGTCTCGAAGGAGCCACAGGATTCCTTGCTGCTTTTGCAGATACAGACTAACAGGGCTACCCCTCTGAGCCAGTAGGCAGGGCAGCGTAGTGCCATCAAAGAGCTCAGATTGGACATAGTAGCTGAGAGCATTGTGTTCACTTAGGTGGGCCTGAAAGGCAAGAGAGTTAACTCCTAACCGGCAGTACAGTACTGATTCCCCGCTTTGATCCTATTTATTTCATTCCAAATATTGGGGGGAAACTCTTTCTCAGGTGCAAAAAAAAAATCAGGCCTCTGATATGCATAGAAGTTATTAAGGAGTACCAGGTATGCAAGGAAAATAGAGCAGAACGTTATGGGAAAGGTGGTTACCTTGCACGATTACAATTAATGGGAGCTTTACTATTACCTTCTGTGGGCATAGGCTCTGACCCATTCCCCACCATGCAGATCAGAGGCAAGTTTTGCTCATGCTGTTTTTATAGGTTTCCACTTTTTCTTCCTCTTTTCTACTACTTAACTTGTTACTAAGTTAATACAGTATTGAATAATTTTGCTTGGAAGACTAATAACCTTTGCTCTTCTATCCCCAAAATGGCATTGCATTGCAGATTAGGAGAGGTTCACTCAAGGCAATGGACTTATGGGTTCTTATTTAGAAGTAACTGCTAATTAAAGTATAAGTTGGCATTCCTCTCCGCGTTCTGCTTACTCATGTGAATTGAATCACAGTTCTAGGGATATAGATGAGATAATATGTACCACAGAGGAAGAGGTACAGCTTCATATTCCAATCAAGGAATCCAGGCAGCTAAGCTGTCTCTAAACAATTTTTAAATAGAAAAACTGTTCTAACCAGATGATAGCTGCTGAGTTAAAAGTTTGGCTGAATTTGAAGCTATCAATTGTTGCCTGAACTATTTCATTTCCGTTAGGATTGGTACTGTTGTTCGTTCTGTTTACTACCTATTGCCCAGCTAATGTGTATAACAGATCACCTCTGTCTGGTTGTTCTTGTTGTCCCTTCATGAATGCAAGTCAACACCACACCGTTCCATTCTATTGCGAGCACAGTGTAAGAGAGAATCTGTACGAAATAGCCAGTTTCTTCCCCAACAAATTTACGTTAGAACGATATGAGCATGCATAAAGAAGAGTAAAACAGAGGGGCTTTATGGCAAAAGTATCTGAAGAAGTAGTAGGTCAATTTCCAGAAGTTTATTGGAGGAGGAGGGGGAACTCACATGCAGATACTGGATGAGAGGCTGGAGTGAATTTAAACAGCCGTGTGAAGGAAGGTGCAAAGTTGAAAGTGAGAGAGGGTGACCAGGAAGGATGTTTGGCAAGATGTAGGTCAAGGAAGTAGGAGTTTAGCACAGAGCAGTGGGAAAGGCTCCCAGAACAAGGGAGTAGTTGGGTGCATGGTGCTGTATGTGTCATGAATACATACCCAGATAGAACTTTATACAAATGCCAGCAGAACAACAGAGTTGTTCAAGCAAGATAGAACAGCAGAGTGTGTATGTGTTGTCCTAAAAATACATTGGTGAGCAATGTCACTATTTTGAAAATAATATAATGAGTAAAACTTTTTGTAATAAAAGGGATTCTTTTGGGCACCACTAAGTACCTCAAACTGGGCCAAATTCCGTATTGATTTACCCTGTACTTTTACATTGGAGTCCCTGAGGAGTTTGAGTCCTCTAGCCTGATTCCAGACAGCTGAAGTGAAAATTAAACACTGCTGGTCAGAAGTAAAACATGGAGCAATCGCAGTCTTCTTAGTATGGTAAAGTGTGGATGTAATACTGAAGAGAGCTTTCCTTCTCTTCCTGTTTAGAAGCCACTCGTGGTGCTAGTTAGTCGGGTTAAGAATTTAGGGCAGGGGTGGGGAATCTAAGGCCCTTGGTTTGCCTGGATCCAGCCCCTAAGGCTAAATAATCTACTTCTCTGGACCCCCCTAGGCTCTGATGTCCAAGGGGAATGTGGTGAGTGTCTTTCTCCTTCCCAGTCGGGGGCCACATCAGTGAGGGTTTGGGGGTTTTGTGCTTCTCATTTGTGTGAGGCCCCCTGACTGATTTGTCTGTGGGTCAGCAGCCCCTGGCCCAAAAAAGGTTCCTCACCCCTGATTTAGGACAAAGAGGAATGTCCGTGTGATCAATATGCAGAATGCGCTTTCCCTTGTCACTGTTCTGTCGCAGTCATGCTGTGAGTTTGTGCTTGGGAACTGAGCTGGAAGGGGTGAGTACTTATTTATTTCTTGGTGCTCCAAGTTCTCATCTGGCTACTTGGCAAGCTTAAATTGAAGATGGCTTTGCCCACTTCTATCTAGGGACGTCGTCATGTGGTTGACTGCATGATTAACTGATAAGCCCAGGCTTATCAATTAATCCTGTTGACTACAGGCATTTCCCCCCCCCCTCCCCTGCTCGGAGGCAGAGTGGGAGAGGTGGGGGCCGGAGGCTGTGAAGAGCCAGTATTTAAACTGATAGCGAGGCAGAAGTAAGGGTGTTGAGTGCGGAGAACAGGAACCGGTACATATGGGGAACCAGCTTTCAAGCCAGCTCCCCATGCGTATTGGCTCCTTTGCAGCTGCCTTCCCCCCCCCCCCTCCCCTGCTCGGAGGCAGAGTGGGAGAGGTGGGGGCCGGAGGCTGTGAAGAGCCAGTATTTAAACTGATAGCGAGGCAGAAGTAAGGGTGTTGAGTGCGGAGAACAGGAACCGGTACATATGGGGAACCAGCTTTCAAGCCAGCTCCCCATGCGTATTGGCTCCTTTGCAGCTGCCTTCCCCCCCCCCCCTCCCCTGCTCGGAGGCAGAGTGGGAGAGGTGGGGGCCGGAGGCTGTGAAGAGCCAGTATTTAAACTGATAGCGAGGCAGAAGTAAGGGTGTTGAGTGCGGAGAACAGGAACCGGTACATATGGGGAACCAGCTTTCAAGCCAGCTCCCCATGCGTATTGGCTCCTTTGCAGCTGCCTTCCCCCCCCCCCCTCCCCTGCTCGGAGGCAGAGTGGGAGAGGTGGGAGCCGGAGGCTGTGAAGAGCCAGTATTTAAACTGATAGCGAGGCAGAAGTAAGGGTGTTGAGTGCGGAGAACAGGAACCGGTACATATGGGGAACCAGCTTTCAAGCCAGCTCCCCATGCGTATTGGCTCCTTTGCAGCTGCCTTCCCCCCCCCCCATGTTGCTGCCTCTTTATCAGCATAGGGAGGGGGACAGGCGGGAGTCGGTACACATGGGAAACCAGCTTTAAAGCCAGCTCTCTGGCGTGCCGGCTCTGCAGAGCTGCGGCCCCCCACATTGCTGCCTCCCAAAGAGGTGTGGGACAGGCAGGAGGTAGCAACGTGGGGTGGGAAGCAGGGGAGGCTGCTGCAGAACAGCCTCAGTACATGGCGGTCCCAAGATCGCTATGGACAGAGTCTGCTCTGTAGGATGCCAGCGCAGCCTCTGTCCATGGGGTTCTCAGGCCCTCTGCAGATAGGGGCTGCTGCCGCCCTGTGCTACTGCCTCTGATACCGAGGCAGCAGAATGGGATGGCGGGGGGCTTCCCGGGGTGGGTCCGGGAGAGCATTGGCTGCTGGCCCCACCACCAGGGACTATTGAAGAGTTGTGTAACCACTAACATTTGATGCTGTTTCACGATTATTCAAATACATGGTATTGAACATCGCTACTTCTAGCCTCTGTAGCTTTTCCTGTATCTGGCTTGTTCCTCTACATGTAAGAGTCACATTTCATTGAAGTCAGCAGGAGTAAGAACAAGCCAGATGACTTCCTTTTGTTTGTCTAACCTTCAACACACAGTTTGCGTACTTGCACTCTTGTATACAGTAGCAGGCAGACTCCAATTTTTCTGTGCCTCGCATCCCTCCTTAAGATATCAGATGGAATTCTAATGCAGTAGGTAGCGCACAAACCCAAGCTGCGATGTTGATTTGCCTCCCCAAATTTACATTGGGAGGAAAACTACTTCTGTTCATTATGCTTGGGTTGGGCTTCCTGCTTTCCTGCCAGCCTAGTTTGTTATACGCCTTCGTGCGTACTTGGAATGTGTCCTGGAACTGTAGGCAGTACGTGTGGAATCAGGGACAGGGCGAGTGACTGAGATCACAGAGATTTGTTCTCTGTTGCCCTGCCTGTCTCAGCGTGATATGGCACAAATGGAGCATGAGTTAAAGCACCATATTCTGAAAAGGGTACAGGTGCACAGAATCTCTGTTAATATCTGGGATGGGGGTACTGTGTAATCTATGGAGAGATTACGTACCACTCACCGGAGGCAGAGAGCACAGATCTTTGCAGGGTAGAAAACCCAGTATTCCTTTTCTTATAATGGTCTCTTTTGTTTTTTACAGTGGCCCACTCCCAAGAGCCTCCTCACTCCACTGAGAAGCCTGTCATCCACTGCCATAAATGCGGGGAGCCGTGTAAGGGGGAAGTGCTCCGTGTCCAGTCCAGGCATTTTCACATCAAATGCTTCATCTGCAAAGGTAGTGAATTAATATCATGCAAATGGCTCAAACCTCTTTGTCTTGAGTTAATCATGAGAGGTTAACCTTGTATATTGTCATGGGCAGCAGCCTTTGGCAGAGATGGGTTCGTTTAGAAGACATCTGTATTTCTCAAAATATACGGTTCCTGAACTTGTAAGTGGGGAAGATGGAGGATGAATGGAGAGCTGGCTGAGTCATAAGTGTAAGAGTATCCAGCTGAATGGTACCAAAAAAAGAACAAATTCTCTAAGCAAACATTTATGTATTCAGGCCTTAAAAAAAGATGACACTAACAACCAGTTCCTCTATTCTTATTACTGTTGGATCCAGTGATTACCATGATAGGAATTACATAAACTGGGTTATATTATCAACCAGAAATAACTTAACTACAAAATGTGTATTTTAAGTAGTTAAAGATGTAACAAACAATGCAAATCACACAATCTGCTTTGTTCTATCTTTTTAGTAAACTAAGGTTGTTTCACTAAAGAGAAGATGGTGCAGTTTCTTAGTGTATTCCTTAGTGGGATCTGAGGAAAGAGGCCTGTAGAATTTGGTATTGGAGAGTTGTCTGGCAGCCTCCTTTAGGTAGTCAGGCCTGTTCATGATGACAACAGCACCTCCTTTGTCAGCCTCTTGTACCATCTGTAGAAGGATGCTTCCTGCTGGAATTTTCCCATTAGGAGTTCATTTTACCCTATCTGGGAGCCCTCTTTTAGGTAAAGTCCGAATCACTAATCTGTGCATGTGGATGAAGGTGTCCAACCTCTTTTTCCTGATTTGTATTGTCCCTAGTGAATACTTTGCAGGATAGCTCTCCCCTGTGGGCTCATTGCCTTCATTGGCCACTCTCCTATCGTCTCCCTTTGAACAGCAACCCCTTCTTTTGAATGTTATTGAAAACAGTCCCTTTTCCAGGGCTTCCAGTTGCCCTGACATAACCAAATCCTGACCTGGCTTTAAGTTAGGATAAGAGGAAGTAACATACCAAATTTAGTGGCCCTATCTCTTATAATTTCAGAAGAGTTCCTGAACAAACAGACTCACAGACAGGCACACAGACAGACAGATGCACGATATATGTGTATGTATTTATATATGTGTATGGATCTAGATACACGTATAAATAACACATTGCAAGAAATAATCAACAGGTGAGGTATCTCATGAGGATTACCTGTTGTATTCCCTCCCTCAGGGGCATTTGGTATTGGCCACTGTTGGCAGACAGGATACGGGGCTAGATGGACCATTGATCTGACCCAGTATGACCCTTCTTATGTCTCTGTGTCTCTCTCACTCACACAGAGAGAGACAGGAATAAATTAACACCTCAAGGGATTGTTTGGGGACACCATAGCCAGAGAATACAAATAGAATATTTATCCTTCTCAGTGTTGCATAAATTACTAGGATGAAAGGTGACACTCTTTGTTACTGCATCATTAGATGACTTCTTTTCAATTAAATGTTGCCTTTGAAATTGTCATTGAGCAAGAGGATGGGATAGCTGGGGAATATTTTGTGGAGAACTATAAGACTTTGTAACAGAAGTGTGACTAAAGCTTTTGGTTTGTTAGCTGTTCATGTAAGAAAGTGACTTGTTGCAGTGAACAACTTTGCCTGAATTGCAGCCTTTTGCTGTTTCCTTTTTTTTTTTTTAAGTAGGTTACAGCATGTATTGGCCCTTCCACCCTGTAGTTTGTATGGGACTACTTAGGACAGTGCTAAGTCGTGATCTCAGTGGCCACCATGATTATCTGTGGGTCTATTAGGGTGTATTAGGATAACATACATATATTCTTTGTTACAGTTACTGGGTTTTTAATACCAAAGCTAAGCTGTTTATATAGTGCTTTATAGTTTCAAAAGATCTGTGCAACAGTAGCAGATTGGTCCTCAGAATGCTCTTCCATTTAGACAAGTAGTATCCTCACTTTCCAAATGGGGAAACCGGAGTAGAAGGTGTCTCAGGGACAGGCTAAGAAGCCTACTCTCTGCTTTGAGTAACTCCTCAGGGTTAGTCAGTCAGTTATTTGTGTGAATAGCAGCTCATCAGCAGGAGTCCGGTCTTTACATTAAAGTCCAAAATGATTTGCCAAAGTCCCATATTGAGTCAGAGCTAGAAGTAGAGCTCAAGAACTGCTTCCTGTGCTCATACTGGCTCCTCTTTTGGATCTGTGCTTTTCTTCTCTTAGTCCTGTCAGGAATGGTCTAGCAAGTGCTTGGTCCTGCCTTGAGGGCAAGAGCCTGGACTTGATGACCTCCCAAGGTCCCTTCTAGTCTCATGATCATTTTTAGTATCTAGTATCCACCGGCTGCACTTTGATTCTATAATTCCAAGCATGCTGATTTTTGTAACTTGGCTGATAACTGGCCTGATTGTGGCTGTTGTTTATGAAGATGTTCCTGAGCTGCTGACAGTGTAATCTTCTGTAATATGATCTGCACTGCTTGAACCAATGTCACCCGGCAAAGAGCAAGGCCGAAGAAACTTGTGTCTGTCTTTAGATATGGAGCTGTGCTTTTATCATTCTATCGTTCATTGAGTTTGGGGCTTGTGAAAGGTGAGTCCTTAAGTCAGAGCCCTTTGCTTATCCACAGGACTTCATCATGCTGCACTGCTAATTGCCTATTCAGCTGAGCTGTATCCTAGGGAGAGGACTTCACTTCCATTGCTCATTCAGCCTTTGGTCCCCTGATTTAGACTGTCAACAAGGATATGTACGTGGTTTTGTTTGGGGTTCCTAGCTCCCTAAGAACGAGGCTGAAACCACTAGCTCCCTTCATGTAGCAATGCAGACCTGGTTCATTGCCTTCATATTTAACTGAGGCTATATTTTTCTGATAGATAGCTCCGTACACCATATGGTATGTATTTAGGACCATATGGTTCATACAAATGGAATGCAGCTGTTTTAAGGAAGTTTCAGGCTTGTTTTCCTCTCAATTTAGTTTGGTATTTAATTTGGCATAATTCTTCTTCCCAGAGGCTTGCATTTGACATCCTTAATTTGTAAAGTGCACAGTTAACGAACGTAAGCAACTCCTTGTGATGAGGACAGGATATCTCAGCTACCAGTATCTTAGTTGTCTTATTCCACTTAACATATTGGCTTAGGCTCCAGCTCTTACAGCAGTGGTCTCCAATCTTTTTGAACCCAAGATTGCTTTTTGCATTTAAGGGCTACCCAGAATTTACCCCAACCCTTCGCAAAGGCCTCACCCCCTTCCCTCCATCACTGTCTCCCTCTCTCTCACTTTCATGTGGCTAGAGCGAGGGGTTGGGGTACAGCAGGGGGTGAGGGAGCAGGCTCTGTGAGGGAATTTGGTGCAAGAGGGGGCTCCAGGCTGGAGCAAGAGTGGTGAGGTGCAGGGAGTGAGGAGTTCAAGCTCAGAGAAGGAGTTTGCCCCAGCTTGGAGCCTCTCCTGCACCCAAAGAGCACATGCCCTGCTCCTGCACCCCAAGTCTCTGGGTACAGGAGGGGATTCTAGTCTGGGGCATAGGGTTGGGAGCAAGATGGAGTGAGGGATGTTGCTCTGGAAGGGAGTTCGGGTACAGGATCAGGACTGGCATAAGGGTGGAGGTGCGTGCTCTACCTGGGAGGTGCTTACCTCAGGTGGCTCCTAATTGGCAGCGCAGTGGAGCTCAGGCAAAGCTGACTCTGCCTGGCCCCACAGCTGGCTGGCTGAATGCAGGCACATCTGTGTGCAGCCGGTATCGGGGAGAGGGGATCTCCATGTATTGCATTGCTACACCCGCCCATAAGTACTGCCCCCATTGGCTGGGTCCCCGCTTGGAGAATGCTGGGGGTTGGTGGAGGGAACACGCAGCTGTCTCCCCTTCCCCTCCCGGAGGGGTTGCAGAGATGTTGCAGTGTGGGGCCAGGCTGGCAGAGACAGCCTGCCCGAGGATCACAGTCGACTGGCAGAGGCTCTAGGATCCACAGTCAGTCATGGTCAATGGGTTGGTAACCAGTGACTTACAGTTACGAGGGAAACCCACAGAAATCCTGCCCATCTGACATATTTGAACTTTTACATACTAGAATAGTGATGCTGCAAAAGGGTTCCACTTCCCGCTGTAGGATTGGTGGTGTGCGAGAGTGGGAATTGGCTGAAGAGCGAGGAGTCAGTGGGAATAAGCCGGCACGTACGTGTGTGTGTGTGTGTGTGTGTCTCTCTCTCTCTCTCTCTCTCTCTCGGGGATATGATAGAGGTCTATAAAATCATGAGTGGTGTGGAGAGGGCTGATAAAGAAAAGTTATTTATTAGTTCCATAAATAGAAGAACTAGAGGACACCAAATGAAATTAATGGGTAGCAGGTTTAAAACTAATAAAAGAAAGTTCTTCTTCACACAGCATGTAGTCAACCTGTGGAACTCCTTGCCAGAGGAGGCTGTGAAGGCTAGGACTATAATAGAGTTTAAAGAGAAGCTAGATAATTTCGTGGAGGTTAGGTCCATAAAAGGCTATTAGCCAGGGGATAAAATGGTGTCCTTGGCCTCCGTTTGTCAGAGGCTGGAGAGGGATGGCAGGAGACAAATCGCTTGATCGTTGTCTTCAGTCCACCGTCTCTGGGGCACCTGGTGCTTGCCACTGTCGGTAGACAGGATACTGGGCTAGATGGACCTTTGGTCTGACCCAGTACAGCCGTTCTTATGTTCTCCTTGGCTTCCGTTCTGGTTCTTAGCCATTTTTCTTCTCTTAACTATATGTGCTGCAGCTATGCCATAGTGTTCGGTGTATTACAGATGGTATTGCTATAGTTCATTGAGATGGAAAATGTTGGGTACAATCTTCATTTAAAGAGGATGTAAGAAGCCACTAAACTTCTGGGATGGCCTGATGTGGCACAGTGGCAGTCGTTGGGCCCTCCTGATCTCCTTGTTGTTCCGCACGCCCTGCAGCAGCGGGGGCATGGAGGATCCAACCACAGCTGTGGCGCCATGCCAGGCCCCTCCCCCCCCAGTAATCCCAAAGGCCGCATCCT